ACACCCACACCCACACCCACACACAGCCACACCCACACCCACACACAGCCACACCCACACCCTAATCGTTTATCTAAACATGATGTTCAACAAACTTTTACTAAGATTATATTTCAACAAGTGGAATGCATTGTAAATTACTCCTATATTACTACTAGATGCCTTGTCTTCTCATTACCATTTACGTTTAATTATTTCGATTATATTGGTAATACATTTCCAAATATTATTTTCAATCATGTTCGAAGTTTGCAAATACAAAATCAAGTTCCATTCGAACATGAATTTTTTATTCGAATTGCTTCGTCTTTTCCTATACTTGAACAATTATCTGTTGTAAATCTTGTACCATAATCAAAAATACGAACGAAATTCAATTATGATAATAATCAATTATATCAAATTGTTAAATATCCTTATCTTGTTTCACTTAGTCTTTATATTGCTCATAATGATTATATTGAACAATTTCTCAATGATAAGAAAACATATCTACCTAGTCTAACTAAATTAACAGTCGCTTACGATAAATTACAACTTATGACAGAAAATTTTACAAGAGATACAACACGTCTCAATTGTATCAATGTAAATGAATTAAATACTATTGAAACAACAATAGTACATTCAAAAGATTTCTATATTTATTTTTCTTTGTTGTAACTGATGTTTTTCTTTTTTGTTAGAATAAATCATGATAAATTAATAAAATGAATAATAAAAAATATTAAGAGGGTTTTTGAAATTAAATGCTATTGAACAATTACTAATTATAAATCTGTTATTAACTTTGAAATTTTTTATTCTAAAAAACAAAATATAAAAGGACGGGGGCGTATAAGAACGCATTTTGGTCCCATTCGATTTCGGGTTTGGACATGGCTGTACTGTTCAACGACATCCTCACTCCATATACACCCACAGCCATACCCACACCCACACCCACTTTGTAACGACATGAATACTACCCTATCTTTGCAAAGCCATAACCCTATCGATAGAGAAACGATATAGCTGATACTATAGAGAAACATTTTTTGTGTGGCCAAAAAGTTTTTATTCCATATGAAAATACCTTGAGTAATAATTTTCTATTACAAATACAGTATCAAACAAAACAGGTATTGAACTAATCTAACTTTAGCATCATCAAAAATCGATTGTCTTCTACATATTAGCAATCCTGTCTTTTAGTATTAAAAATAAAATTTTAGACTGAGAAAACGTTACAAAAAAAACTTAATAAAATTAAAGATCAATTACTAACAGCAATCTTGCTTTTACATAAAGCGTATTAGAGATGGATTTCTTTCAACAGATGTACTACAAGTATTATCTAAATCACGTTCTCGAATCATTAATTCAAGCGTACTCTTCTAATATTTGCTTATTTCATTTTCTTCTTTGTCACTCTTCTTTAATGATTTCATGCGAAAAAACACCTAAAGATCTTTCCTCTAGCTAATACTACGCTCATGAAAATTTCGAGTACTACTCATCGAACTCCAAAATATTTTGTATCATACTGAAAAACTTAAGGTTTTATAATGAAAAAGCTAAAAAAGAATTTTTCTTAACCTCTAAAACTCCAAGCTTCATTAATAGTTAGGTGTAGAGGATTTAGGCCATAGCCATGCGTGTGTCTACTGAAGGGTAGAGTGAGTGATGAGGGGATAATTTATGGAATAAAAATACAAGAGTATACGTTTAATAGTATAGTTATCATGAAAAGGAATGTATAAACGGATGTAAAGGCACAAATGTAAGGGCATTATAGATCTTAGAGTGTCAGGTTGAGGGTATAGTTTTAAGGATATAGGTGTAAGGTTATATTGGCGAACTCTCATGCTTAGAACCCCATCGGGTCCTTTTGAGTCTTTTATATTTCCATGCAGAATTCTATAAGACCCTATCGGATCCTTTCATCGTAACTAGTTGAATTGCAGGTCACTAGAAAAAATCCAGTTTTTGTATTAATAGCATTTTGCCGTGAACACGTTGCTTCTTTTTCGTATTATGACCAAAAAAGTCTAAAGTTGAGTTTCACATTATGACAAATTCAAATGAAAGCAAAAGGAAAACATAAAAACCACACCCGTCTTCATGATTCTGATAGAGGTCCTTCCATTTTTTTGCATCATCGCAGAGAATTACCTATTGTAAAAGAGACTTTTTAAAAATTCGCTTTTAAGAAAAAAAATAGAATGATACTGATTTTATTCGTATTTAAAAAATTTTGTATCATAAAATCGTTTTGAAAGATTTTTGATGTTCTACTATTTAATGTATTTGAAGTCAATTTCCATCACAACAAAAATTTAAAAGAAACTATTTTGAAAATTCTTCGAATTAAATATTTAACAAACGTTGAAAATTTGACCAAAATCTCTGATCATACGAATTTATAAATCTATCCAGTAGTTTTGTTATTCAAATCGAAATGAGCTATAGATTTAGCTTTAGTAGTTTCACACACATTCCTGTTTTGTTTATTAACTGTTCCATTGTAAAATCTATTATGTGTTTTCTTGAATGAAAATCAACGTTTGATTTTTTTTTGTCTCTTTCATTCATATTATGAATATCATTATGTTTTTTTGCATAAAAAATACGATTCGTTTAATGCAAAGAAAGCCAAGTACACATACGTAATAACAAAATTTGACGACGGTTCTGCTTCAACGCAACGTTTTTTTTTTCTTCATTTCTTATTACATAATACTGATCAAAGAAAAATATATGTCCGTATAAAATATCAAATATACCGATGGATGAAGCACAAAATAATGCATATTTCTTCGATATGAATCAGTGAAAAATAATAAACAACTGCTTTCTACAATTACAAATAATATGGCAAACCAAGGACATAACCAAAATGATACAGTTGAAGGCCAAAATCAAAGTGCAAATGTATAGATGCACAGATATTTATTCACAGTCTTCACAATCGTATCGTTTCTTTTTTTCCTTTTCTATACCTGGACACCTGAGTTTGTTCATGCTCATTTACTTCTATTTGTTTTTTGTATTTTTTTGCGTCATCTATCTTGTCGTTTTGGTTTGATGGTTAACTGATAGAACAAGTATGACAAAAAAAAGACCCGACCATCCCCAATCAGCTAGTCTGATCATATTTAAATCATTGACAATTTTAATATTCAATACACACCTAAGAGCGTCCGAAGAAAATAGAAGAGCAAAGCACTGCTGATATTCGTCAATCTAATTTATCAACATTTTCAATGGCTTTTGATATATCTGCTAGACCAAATTCATTAATACAACAGGTTGATCGTAGTTTACTTTCTCGTAAGATGATTATTTGAAGTAAATTTATAATATGAATTTTCTTTTGCTTGTTTTATATTATATTAAATTAGGCAATGTTTATTCATTAAATAAACATTCTGGTCGATCATTCTCAGGTCTTGATAATATTTCTATAAATGACAGGAAGTATAATGATCCCGAGTTTCCACCTGTACCTGAAAATATTACAAAATACAATGGAAGAACATGGTCTGATGATTATGAACTTGGAGCAATCGTAGCACAATGGTAATTTATTTTTTCTAACTTTTTAATGATACGTTTTGTCTTAAAGGGTACATCCCGAACAAATTCGATGGTCTAAGGGAGCTGAAAAGTATCCATTAACTGTATTCAATCAACCACATCCAATGGATATTATTCAAGGTCGTCTTGGTAATTGTTGGTTTATTTCTGCATTGTCATTAATCGCTGAAATACCACAAATATTAGAGAAAGTTATGATCACAAAACAATATAATCCAGCTGGTAAATAAATCAAAATATTAATTACCAAATAATCTAGATAATTTTTTTTTAGGACTCTATAAAATTCGTTTATGTAATCGAGGGATTTGGCAAGTTATTACAATTGATGATATGTTACCTGTAACACAAGCAAATACATTGGTCTTCACACGAAGCCACAAAAAACAATTGTTTGCATCATTAATTGAAAAAGCATTAGCAAAAATGCATGAAAGTTATAACGCTCTTGAGTATGGTATGAAAATTTATTTGTTTTGTAGAATAACTATTAGTAAATGATTTATTTGGATTTACAAAAGATAGCTGACAGTTTTGCATTCTCAAGATACAACTCAGATTTCGAGCTACATTTAAAAAAAATACTATTTTTTCTTTTTAATTGTAAAATTGTCGATCAGTTTTTGTTCCACTATTTTTCGATGTTCCGATTTCTTTGTAGGAAGATGTGTTGAAGGTTTGCAAACATTAACAGGTGAACCATGTGAAGTAAGTGAAAATGGAAAATGTCAATCTTTTGAAATGTTTTTAATAAATTTGATTTTCTTTATAGGTATTATTGTTGCGTTCAACTGATCCTAAAAAGCAACCTAATCTTAATCATATATGGGCTAAAATAATTGAATCACGGATGAAAGGTAAACTAATCTATAGAAACTTTATTATTTTAATTAAATGATAATTACTATAGGATATCTTATGGCATGTTTATCTTCGAATAAACAACTTCATGAGCAAACATTTCATCACATGGGTAAATTAAATAGACATTTTTTTTTTTAAAACCAACTGGTGTCTAATAATGGATGGCTGACTTTTGTGTTTCATATTTTAATCTCGAAATATTTCTTATTAAAAGAAAGAACACATCATAAAATACAGCGTGAAGAGCTGAGGTATATGATTAAAATAAGTTTACTTTCTAGAGCTTTTTGCGTAAAATATATCAAAAGATTAAAATATGAAATTTTAAGAACATTGGTCATTTATCATATGAGACATTCGTCATTATAAGTTTCTTTTGAATAGGTCTGGAATCAGATCATGCTTATAGCATTCTTGATGTACGACAAAATGGTTCTCAAAAAGTTGTTCGTTTACGTAGTCCATCGGGTAAAAAAGAAGCGAATGGTTCATTCTCAGAAAAGGATGGTGTTTTATGGATGCGTACGTATTAGTTGTTTTGTACTTTGGAAATAAAATCTTTTTTGCTGAATAGCTTGGGAACAAATGTCTTCGTTTTTTAATGATATTACTATTTGTAAAATCCATACACATCAATATAAAGTTAGTTTTATATTTTGTTCATTTCTCAAAAGTAAATTATTTTTGCTTTCAAATACAGGCTCGTAAAAGTGGTCAATTTAGTGATTTTTCATCTACAATAACATCAGTATATAGTCTTGATTGTCCATATGGAGCTGAACTTGAAATTGAATTATTTAATGCTGGTGATGGAAAATATCATAATCGTTCAAAAGAGCCTGATATAGATCTTTTCTTAATTGTACTTAGTTCAAATGGTTCTTGTCAAGCATATAAACATGGTCTTGATTATTATATCACATTGTCAACAACAGTATCATCTGGTCGATATATTATATTAGCTGGTTCCATGTCAGTAGTTAATTATTCGATACGGCCAAGGTTTAATTTGGTTGTACACGGTACTCAATCATTTACTCTTAATGAACAACCATCATCATGTGAATTAGTTGGCAATGCATTTCATGCAGTTGCTCTTCAAGCTAATAATCGGAAAGATTTTGGAGATGGCATATCGATTTTAACATTTAATGATAATGGGTTAAAAAAATACATTTTCATTTTTGCTTCTGGTATTTTTATTGTTATTTCTATTTAGAGGTTTTGGTTTTGTTTGTGAAAACAAATCCGATCGAACAATTCGTCTAACTACTGATTTTCAAGGATCTAAAAATGTTTTTTCTTCTCGAAAAACTTTTCATATGGTTGATATAATTCCAGCTAAAACAAAGCAACTTTTTGCAATGTTTACACGAAGAGTGCTTTCGCGTGATATAAACATAGGTAAATAAATCTCTTTATTTTACATTATTTATTCTTCTTTGTCTCTATTTTTCAGTATATCAGGTTGAATATCAGGTAAGTTTCGTTTTGATGTATAGTTGTAGCATAAAAATATTATTTCATTAAAAAAGCCTTTAAATCAATTAAATGGTATTGATCATATTCGTGCAAGAAATAATCCGCCTATAAGTCCTCAAGCTCTCGGTAAGATTGACCTATTTTGTTCTTGATTATATAATATAAAACTATTTTTCACCTCTAGGTCTTCATATATCGAAACCTGTTCATCGAAATTTTTAATAGTTTTTTTGTCTGTGTTCCATTCAATGGACTGTTATGATTTTCTAAAAACTAATACTAATAGTTCTTTTTTTTTTCAATAAAAACATAGCGTAGAAATCATTTATATAAATTCGAAAGATTTTTCATGTTTACAATTTGAGAAGTGTTTATCAGATTAATGCATATCTCAAGTATATTTATCCATTATAATAAAGTTAAAACAAATACAATCGATCTAATCAAAAATTTTATCCTATTCTTTGGTTTAAAATAAATCGAAGTTTAACTGTTAATGTTTCCATCACTATACTTCTTTTTTGTTTGAAAATTGAATCAATGGAGAGCTTGTGTGTCTCATTGATCGATTTATTAAACGATATTAAACTTTATATAACTATGCTTTCCATTGTTTATGGTAGTGAGTCTAGAATTTCAGTGAGGGAGCAGCGGTTTCTAAATGATATATTATAAAGTATTGTGAACTGGGAAATGGAGATTTAAACACGTCAAGGTACGCACAGAAACTCAAGTTGTGTTTTTGAGAATTGATTGGATGCTGCTCTATTTTGCAAGGATAATTGATTAATTTGGTCTTTTGTAGTATTATATCAGACTTGTCGGAAGCCGAGCTCGGACGAGGACACATACAAGTACGTGTATGTGTACTTCAAAATTTCAAAGTTATATTAGTGCATTTTTAGTTGTGGGGCAAGTATGCTTGCTTCTATACTTGTGTTTAATAACGGAAAAGTTATTAATCTTGTATTATAACTTGAACATGCATTTTCAAAAGACAGAAATGTATGACAATACTGACAAATATCTAGAAATACAGGGTGTTTGAAAAATAACTCCCTAGTTTAAATTCTTTATTATCCTTAGATAATAAAAGATATCATTTTCATTTTTTCACCATCGTGAAGCAAGAACTATGGCATTTTGTTATCAATGAAACAAATCAATTGATTGTTTGGCTCTCTAAAATCAAATCCAAATTTTCTTTTGACAACATCTGAAAAAAACTTATCACTCTTAATAGTTTATTATTCGTGTACTGGAACCAGAATATGGGTATGTGGATATCCTGCTTCTAGTACAAGAAAAATAAACATTTCTGTTTAATAAAAACACTCGTATACCTTGTTTATTATATCTATGCATTAAATATGAATCATTAGCATCATGATAAACAATTCCATTAATGGTGCAGTACGTCTCACTAGAGCTTAGTTAAAAAGACTTAATATAGATGATCTGTTTGTTCGATCAGAAACTTTCGATCAACATTTCCCATTATTATAATGATTGTTTTTGGTAAAAATTCTATCAATAAAAGAAAGCAGTTTGCAAGAGTTAGACACCGACTTTAATCGTACTAATATAGCAAAATAAAATCATTTAAATAAAAAAAAAACAATATCTTTCAAGTTTTACACTTATTTATTTACAGTTTATGACCATAAGAGAAACATGATTTAGATTGTTTTTATCAAGCATTTTGTTTTGTTTTACAACGAAGTATAAAAAACATGTTTTCATTTTGTTTTATCTGATCAATCGAGCCTGTTGAATGAATTTGCTCGGATAATTGGCAATCATGAGAAACCTGAAAAAAAACTTTGTTGTTATTGTATAATTATCTATTTTGATGTCAGTTATACGTAATAAAATACAAGTAAACTACGTTAAAAGTATATTAAACATAAAGCTGAAGTTCATCGAACATTATCTTTTGAAAGAAAGTCCAACAAGAATTTCGTTTCATTATTTTTATTAATTGTGGGATGTGAGTGTGAGTGTGCATGTAGATATTGGTATGGATATGGATGTGTATTGAAATAGCTACTGTTCTTTCGTTCACTTACCCACACCCCGAACCAGAAACGTCGACTTTTCCAATGATTGTTTGGATTTTTCGTATTAAGAAACTATAGACTTACCAATCGATTATTGTGATTTCTTGAAAACAAGTCGATTTTAATCGGCTTTGGAGATTCCTTGCAAGACAATACATTTAAGCAATTGTGCTAAAATTCAACTTAAATCGATTAGATTCGTAATCCATTATTCGGAATCCTGAGGAGAAGATCAATTTTAATCCATTACTATGATTAGAAATCGATTGTAATCGATTACTGAGACCGAAAATTGATTAAAGTTGGTTTTTGAAAAATAAAATAGATTTTAACTGATTTTTTTATCTCATGGAATTGATTTGAATCCATTCTTATCAGGCAAAATCGATTAAAACTAATGTTTGAAGAATTTAAACAATTTTTATACCAAATATAACCCAAAATTGTCATATATAATTGACTTTTTTTGTGATTTTGTGGAACTCATGTATATTTTCGAAGAAAATAGTGAGTGTAAGTTTTAAGGTCAAGGTTTGGCGGCTCCCTCCTCCCCTTACAGACCATAGCAACGAAAGAGAATATTGCATATAGCACCCCCCCCCCTTACAGACCATAGCAACGTAGGTTACCATTACATACCTTGGCAACTTCGTGAAAAAAAATTCTGTTCGAAATCGAGAGGTAAAAATATAGCATTTTCTAATAATCGATTATCTTTAGAAAAGAACTATTATCTTTTGAAGATTTTAAATATTGGGTATTTTGTCATTAGTATAATGAAACCAAAGGAGATATGTGAGTTCCACATTTCAGCCCCAAAGGGGCTGCGCTAACAAGCTTTTTCTTACAAACATCAAGTTTAATATGAGACTTATGTTTTGTTTTACAACGTAGATTTCCCGAATTTCTTGAATTTTTTTAGTCGATTTTAACATATTATTAACCGTTGATTCATTAGGATCGATTTGAAAAGTCCAATAATTCAGAGAAACAGACATGTTAGACTCAAAGAGGTTGATTGTAATCAACTTTTGGCTAATGGATAATTCTTTTTAATCTAATTTTTGCTAAAATTTATACATGAATGAAAGGGATTCCGGAACTTCGCCAATAAGACTTTCGCTAAATAGGACTCTCGCCAATGGCGAAGGTTCACTATACTTTCGTCAGTACAGCCACTGGACTTTCTCCAATTGGCGAAAGTCCACCGTACTTTCGCCGATACACCCTTTGGAATTTCGCCAATTGGTGGAAGCACAGTGGGCTTTCGCCAATTTCATTGCGAACTAGATATAGATTCGAAAATTTCTGTCGGCTATATTGATGAGTGTAAGCTATGATAAACATTCTAACAACGTTAGCTGCAGCTAGAGCCCGTTGAATCTACTGGGACCCGAACCCAACCGGTTGCAAGTCTGAAAGCTTTGTAATCACTGAGTTCGTGTCCGGGTTCGGAAAATTTTACTCATCGAATCGAGATCCAAAGAAATATCTCATGTATATAATAATCTTTTTGGAATTTCATTAATTTTTCTCTTAAAAGATCCATCAATTGGATTCGGCTCCAGAAATTCTTGACTTCGACAGACTGTAGCTTCAACTCCCACATGTACTCTGTATTAATATTATTTCGTGACAGTTGGGGGAAGTTTACTGTACTTTCGTCAATTGGCGAAAGTACAGTAGAATTTCGCCAATGCACCCCCTGGACTTTCGCCATTGGCGAATGTTCTATTGACGAAAGTCTTATTGGCGAACTTTCGGTAACCCGAATGAAATCGATTAAAACGAATAGGTGGCAAAACATCGAAAGTCAGAATGTAGAAAAGCAAAACATTGAATAGGCAAAACGTCGAAGATGCAAAACATCGAAAAAAAACGTCAAAATCCATAAAGTCGAAGGAAAAACATCGAAAACTAGGGTGTGGGTGTAGGGTGTGGCTGTGGGTGTGGGTGTGGGATCTCTT